TAATAAAAGATAAATTGTCAAAAGTTCAATAAATTTAAATCTTGCTAAAGAAAAGTGGTGTAACATTTTTACATGTAAAAAGATGTTAATGTGTAAAGATGGTTTACATAATATTTTTTTAATGAAAGTTAATTTAATTTTAATGAAAAATTTAAAAATAAATAATATGTAATATATTAAAATGTGTTGAAGAGGAAGAAAGTAATTTTTAATAGAAAAGATGGAAGACAAAGGAAGAAAATGTAATTTAATTTAAATTTTATGGTTATTAAAATTAGGTTTAAATATATTTTTAATTCCTTAAATTTAAGATAAATTTATTTTGGTTCTTCAAATTTAAAATTATTATTTTTAATTTTTATAATTTTGAAAGTACTAAACTAAAATAGTTATGCAATATCAACTTTATTTAATATGATAATTTTATTAATAGAGATATTAATAAGTATATTTTATATAATAATATTTAGTAGATTTTTTAAAAAGATTTAAATATAAAATTAAAATAAGATTTTTTAAAATTATAAAGATTAAAAACAATAATTTTAAAATTAAATAATAAAAAATAAATATATGTTAAATTTAAGAGTAAACCTTAAAATTAAAATCGTAGGATAAGTTGTTGGGTGTGAGGGTAAAGGGAGAGCGAAGACGTAGTGTAACAGGAAAGTTGTTGGTCAAGGCCAAGGGCGGGTCGGGAGCATGTTTCGAGGGCTGAGCTTGGAGGCTCCCATGACTTGGTCTCCGTGTTTCAAACCAACATTTAAACCAAACATTACAAATAAGGTGCCACTGCCACACCCTCGCAGCCGCCAAGGTAACCTTTTCTTTGCATTAGTCTAACCTACTTCATTCGCTGCATCTCCTTCTCCTTCTCCTCGTTCCTTGTTACACTAAACACTTTCTTTTTAGATTCCTCATTCTCCATCTTATCCCAGGACATACTAGTGCGCACCGCTCCCGCACCGCTTCAGAAACAAACGCGATGGCGCTTACGTTTGAGGTTCACCTTCCGATTCTAATGCTGCCGCATTGTTTCACTTTTTATTGAACTGTTTGTGGATGTGGATACAATGACATATTTTTCCTAGATGAGGACTGAGAATCACTGTCCACGTGTTTCTCATGCTCGCTCGCGCCTGTTCTTTTAACTCTATTCTTAGGACTCTGCTCTGTTTATTTTCTCAGGTTCTTGGCAGATTCAACCGTGCTCGCGCTGCTCGGTTGACACTCCCTCATTTTGTGTGCCAGACTCCTTTGTTTATGCCTGTGGGCACACAAGGTCAAAGTTCATTTTCAGATTCTTCGTCATTTGGTTCCTGCAACAGATGAAATTTTCCTAGTGCTTTTAGTTATACTGCTTAATACTTTGCATAAGAAAATAAAACCCATCTTTTTAAATGAGTTACCAAGTTGTTTCTGTTTTGATTGGAGCAAATGACCGAAGAAATACTTCATCACATTTTGAAGTGAATTATTTTCCAATGGGCATTATTGGTTATTGCCTGTCTATAGAATTCACAATACTGAATGTTGGTGTTTGCACTGTTTGATTTGATTTTCTCGGTTTGTTGGGAATTTATTGGATTGCTTAATAGTTGTGGTTCACTTGGGATGCTGCAATTTATAGGGATTTTTGAATGATCAGGAACAATAAAAGGATTGACAAATAGCCAGCTTGAGGACATTGGTTGCCAAATTATACTTGGAAATACATATCACTTGGCCCTTCGACCTACTTCTGAGCTTCTCGATGAAGTTGGTGGTCTTCATAATTTTATGAATTGGCAACGGGCTCTGCTTACAGACTCTGGTGGCTTTCAAATGGTAATTAATTTATGGCCTCATGTATACCATTGCATGTACTGTTGTGATTTCCAGCATTCTTGCAACTGTGCTATTATCTTTCATCCTGTGAATAGTTTTGCATGTTAATTTTACATGGTGGTAAATTGATATTTGTTCATGCCACATAGCCTATGCCAAGAACGATAAATAAGAAAAACTTATTTTCATGATTTTTTATTGTTAATACACTGCATGAAAATTGCATAATAATGAAGAAAACAGAAAGTTGATACATTTCGAGTGTGGCATAACATAAGTTGTCCCTCCCTCCCCCTTTCCTTTTCACTTTTTAGATAGTAATAAATAAATTAGTGTAATGTTTTATGTCATTTATTTTTTAACCTTACAAAATGAAGAATCATATTTAACTCTTTTAAGAGAAGTGATAAAAGTAACCCGTTGTCAGGAGTGAACTGTGAGAATAGGCTTAACAAATTAACAACAAAGATATGCTTTGTGAAGTGGACCAATATTATACGTTTGTTGTTTGATAATAATGTTCAGAATCCTTGTTAAATGAAATCATTTTTATTTCATGGATGTTTTTAGGTTTCACTGTTGCATCTTGCTGATATCACAGAAAAAGGCGTGACTTTTCAGGTAATTTGTTTCCTTTCAAGATATAGACTAGATTTCAAAGGTGTGTTCTGCTTCACTCTTGATCAGTGTTCTCAAATCTGGTTTGTGACCATGCCTTCCAAACTGCCAACTTGACTGCATACCAGTTTGATTAAACCCTAAACCATCTTACCATTTCAATCTCCCAAAACAGTGAAAACTGGTTAAAGTTAAACTGTCCAAAACTGGAGAGTTGAACTAGTTTTGACTTGTAACAAATTTGCCTAGTTCTCTGCCAAACTGAAAATTAGTCTTAACTGGATCAAACATGGACTGAGTTAGCAATTTTTCCGATGTCTATATTGATTTCAGGTTACATAGAACAAAATTGTTAAAAAATGCTAGAGAAATTGAAAAAAAAAAAATGCATCAAATATATGTTTAACTTTACATATTTAGTCTCATACTTTTGGACACTCACACATTAATATACATATAATTATAATTATATATTACACAAGAATGGATAAAGTTACTCCAATAGTAACTTTAAAAGAATTACTCCTCATCTTAACCCTTCATTTTCTTTTAATCTAACAATCAAAGATGAATTACTCATTAAAACTGTTAGATTAAAAGAAAATGAAAAGTGAGGAGGATTCAGAATAAGTCTTTTAAAGTTACTCTTGGAATAACTTAATCCTAACTCTATATTATTTTGGTCCTTTAGTTGAACCACAAACCACCATGCTCCCTGGTTCTCTGAGCAAACAATTGTTTTTTTAAAATAGTGCAATGATAATAATGACATTGTTGAATCTTGAATGGGATTAAGAATTCATTTCCTTTCTTTGTAGTTTTTATTGACTTCATTAGCTGGCTGGACATTTTACTGATATTTGATAGAATATTTTATGATGCGTGGAAGAACACAAGAAGGAGGGTTGAATTGTGTTCTTAAAAACTTTTAGTACTTTTTTCATTTATTAATTCATTTAAAGAAGTTGTCTGTCATAAGACAATGTGCTTTGTCTTATTTATGAAAACAAAGTTATTTGACTGTTTTAAAACATTTGGTCTGTTGATATAACCTTATTTCCCTTTTATGATTTTTAAATTCACAAATATTTGTAGATATTCAGGGATACCTATTAACGGTCTGGATACCCTTTAATATAAATGGGGATGGATACAGGGGAAACTATACCTGCGCTCCCACCCACCAATTGGCATCCCTTGTGGATGCATGATATGATAATATTAAAATTTGAAGTGCATGTTTTTCTCGTTAATGGTATAATGGCTGTCATTTTACCCTCAACAAGTTTTGTACTTATTTAAATACTTTTTCAGTAAAAGAATTTATATTTAGTAAAGTTTTATGGAATTAATGTTATGAAGTACAATGCCATCTTTTGTTATTTGTAACAAAACTTTATTCTCTTGCTGCAGTCACCAGTAGATGGAAAACCAATGCTTCTAACACCTGAGGAATCAATTCAAATCCAAGTAAGAACATTAAGCTTTTCTCCATATTTTTATTTTAATTTTAACTGGGTGCTTTCTTTTTGCTATGTTGCATTTAAAATGTATAGGAAATTACAGGAGTCTGCTTAATGTGATTTGCTTTTAAATAAAATATTTCCTTGTTTTAAATTAGTTATATCTACTGTATTTCTGAACTGAGGGAGGGTTGATCTTTCTATATAACTTCCATTAACATTTGGACTTTATCTCTTATAAAAAGGTTTTATCCTTCATATTTGCTTCCCTTCCCCCCTTATAGCAAGATTTTGATGTTCTCTACTCTTGATTCAACTTTATCCCAATTAGTTTATAGAAAGCAATTGCAAACGGAATTCAAGAAAACTTGTAGTACTCTTCAGTATACTAGCAATGGAATATGACTAATTCTTAGTCATTCTCAGTTTTGTGTATTTTCTTAAGATATTTTTTTTTTCTTCTCTTTCTATACATGGAAAATGTCCCCAGTCCCCACTTAGTCCATTAATAGTCTATATATAGAAGTTCTACACTAGTACTGTACAATCGATAAATGTCACTTAAACAATGACATCCTTTCTCCTTCTATATTTGGTTCTCTTTCTGTCTAAATTCAACAGTTAAGATATTCATTTATTGTTGTGACAATTTTTCCCCCTGCATCATTTTGAAAGATATGATGCTCTATTGTTTTACATGCTTTCATATTTTTTCCATACAAATACAGAATAGAATTGGAGCAGATATCATTATGGCTCTCGATGATGTTGTAAAGACCACCATTACTGGTCCACGAATTGAGGAAGCTATGTATCGAACACTTAGATGGATAGACAGATGTATAGCAGGTAAATGTTGAAATATGGCTCAAAGAGTTGAAAGAAAGAGAGTTGAATTATGTCCCTTGACGAACTTTAGCCTAACCTTCACAACTGATATTCTTCTTCAGATTTGTTTTTGCTCAAGATGTTTTATTGGCTCATAGATGATATTTAGAAGAAAGGAAATGATATTCAAAATCATTGATATATGCTTAGTAGATATAAAATGATTGTACATAGATGTTTAGAAGCAAGATAATATTAATCAGTGTCAAAAGTGGTGCGTTTGGAGGTTATCCAAAAGCTGATTTCACAAACCAAAAGACTTTGATTGTGCTTCTGAATGTGAAAAACAAAACAATTTTAAATCAAACTTCCCCGAATTGATAATTAACTAATATAAAAAAAATTTCTGTATAAGACAATGTTTTGTTGTAAATGATATGTTTAGAACATAGTTTTAAAAACCGGACCGGTCATCAAACCGGTTAGGGTACTGGGTCAGTGGGTCAAAGGTTGAACTGGTAGGTCACTAATTGAACTGCATGACCCGGTTTTTATTAATTTTTTTAAAAAAAATATTCATGTTAAATATATTTTATACTTATAAATTTTAATAAATTTATATTCTATTTTAAATTTCAATTTTCATCTTATTTAAAATTATCTTTATTTTTATTTTGTATAAAGAAATACATAAAAAAATTACATGTTAAACTGTATATTAATATAAATTAAAAATATAAATAATATGTACATATATAATATGCTTGTAACCCTTTGTTAAAGAAGGGAGAATCCCCATCTACTCAGTTCATGCAGATGGAAACATAGTTTATACTGACCGGATCAACGGTCATTTCATTTGGGATGTTAACCCAGAAATGTGCGATCCTGAGTGTGATTGTTGGATGCATTCAGAAGATACCAGTGAGGAAGAAGATAGTGAATCAGATAGTGATGATGAGGGATGGACTACACCCTGCAAGTCACCTCCTCGTTATATTATTAAATATATAATTTAAAATTAATAATATGCTATAAAAGTTATTTAAATTACATATACTACAAATAAATACATTAGAATAAGTAGTTATTGTTATGTTTAATAAGACTCTTTGTTCTTCCATTAAAAGATTCAATTCTTATTGTTATTTTTGTAGTTTGTGGTCCCTTAAAAAAAAAAAATTATGGTTGAACCGGTTTGACCTACCGGTTCACTGGTCGGACCGGCTAGACCACCGGTTCCCGGTTCAACTGATCCGACTGGCCGGTTCGATCCAGTTTTTAAACACTGATTTAGAAGCTAGATGATGGCAGTATAACTGCAAAAACTAGGACAAGGGTAGGAGGATACTGCATAGAAGATTTTAATAATCATTCACCCACAAATCACTTGGGTTACGTCTGGTCTCTACCTCAATAGTTTTTCTCATTGTAATCACTCCTAAATTACAAACATTCTTTCTTACAATCCACCTCATGCTTCTTAACACTACAATTTTTTTCCAAGCTTCTTCAGTCTCAACACCACAGCTCAACCAATTGTCCACTAACTTTCCTAGTTAGCTTGGTACCACAGTCCATTAGTATTAATCCTCATTAATCAGCCTTCTTAGAAGCTCAATCTTCTTAAAAAAAAATACAAGACTATGATTTTCTGCTCTTTTAACACTCAATGAGTGGATGCACAGTATAACAAAAGCTCACAAACACTCTTTAAAATATTACAAACGATTAAGTACTAGAGGGATTGACTAGGAAGGGGCCTCTTTAGAAGATACTTTCTCTCTCCTTAGAAGCATGAATTTTGCCAATGTGTTACATTTCCTTCTCTTGATGAGTTTTGCAAGTAGCTTCCTTAAACAAACCGTTTATAGCTGTTAAATCAGTCAAACTTGTTTAGAAATTGCTTATCAATCATTTTCATTGCAATATCTTTTTGATTGAGTTTTGACCATTTCTGATTTTGGAACCTTTTTCTTCTAATGGTTTAAAACATTCCTTCTGAAAATCATTTCTTATAACTTATAAGGATGATAGCTTGTTGAGTTGTGGGATTTTCTTGAAAAAGATAGAATTGCGAAAGACAATAGAAGGGAAAGTTTATTTAGTTTGCCATTCTTGAGTTTCTTTTATTCAATCACTAGCAAATTAGATACTTCGTTGTAGAATAGAGAGAGTAAAAGTGATTTATGTTTTTCTCTTAGCATGTGCTATGTATAAAGTTATGGTCTCATGTAAAGCATGGTCTGTTTGTAAAAGGTTTGATATTTATTTTATAATGAATGTTGAATTGAAATGGTAGGCCATATTTTTTAATCCTACTCATAGTTTTCTAGCACTGCCTGCTTTGCATGCTGAATATCAATGCATGTTGCCTTATGTTAACAGCTCACAAGAGACCTCATGATCAGAATTTGTTTGGTATTGTGCAAGGTGGTTTAGATCCTGTATTGAGGTGAGTTTCAGCACAAAGCATAACCTTCTTGTTATTTGCTGTGAATTATATTCAGTTTCCCGATTATTGTTTTACCAGTTTGGTAGTTGTATATTGCTTATAAATATGATATTTTGTAATCAGGGATATCTGTGTCAAAGGTATGGTGGAGCGCAATTTGCCTGGGTAGGTGTAAATTCTTGTCAACATGCAAACTGTGCATGTCTTTTCAAATAATTTTTATATTTTTTGGATGCACTTTGTGAACTAAACTATAGTGTACTGGGCATGTTGGCCGGTTTGGCTAGCCTGGTTTTGGGTACATTGCCTTCCTTAACTGGACTTGGTCAATTATTCATAAATAATCTGTACAATGTCTTTATTTCCTTTTTAAGAGATATGTTTTAAGCTTAAAAATAAATTTCCATTGTTAAATGCATTTAATTTGTTATTTGACTATTATTTACCTCTGATTTATATGCATTATGCAAATTTCTATTTTTGGGTAGGAGGGGGACCCCAAACTTGTGGCCTTACTGCTGTATTTGTCTAATCCGATTTTTAACACATTGGACTTAATTGCTAGTGTCTACTGATAGATGATTAGTCTATTGGAGGACAAAAAGAGTTTTTTTTTTTTTTGAAGGATGTAAAATTGATGTATTCTTCATGTGATTAAATCATTTCCATTTATCCCATATTTGATGGTTTGGACTTTGGACATATGAGAAAACCAATATAAGTCCCTCCTGTCGGTAGTGTTGATCAAATTTCGGATAGCTCACTAATAGAGGTATAGGAAAACCAAGAAAACTCTAATTGAAATCAATTAAAATACTTAGATTTACATTCTCTCTAAATAAAAATATTTTTGATCCATGTATTCTGACTCAGTCTAGTGGGAAAAAACCCCTATGGTGGTTGTTATTTACCCCAAATTTAGTAACATCCATGGATGTCTGGAAACTAAATACTTATTGGAGAATTTGTTTTAGTATATAACTATATATGATATTTAGAAAATGTGCATAAATATTTTCTTCTATGAATTTACACAAATTAGAATGAACCTTACAGACCATCCCTCACAATCTGCACTGGAAGGCATGCATTATTTACATGGTCATGTTTGGATAATTTTACTTGCATATGGCGTTTTTTAGCCCAGCAAAGAATGTAATTTTCATATAGACATCACTTGCTTTTAATATATGAACGCCAGCAGAAGACTCTTGACACTAATAGTTTTTTCAGTAGTGATGTGGAGTTATTCTTTTGTCACAGCTATGCTATTGGTGGTCTTTCAGGCGGTGAAGATAAAAATTCATTTTGGCGAGTTGTTGCTCAGTGCACTGCTGCCTTGCCAGAGGATAAACCACGATATGTTATGGTCAGAATGACTTCATATCAACCTTTTTTATCCAAAAAAAAGTCAATATAATGTCTCACATTTTGCATGAACTTTCAGGGAGTTGGTTATCCACTTGATATTGTTGTCTGTAGTGCTTTGGGTGCTGACATGTATGACTGTGTGTATCCTACCCGTACAGCACGCTTTGGCACTGCTCTCGTTCCTGAGGTGATCATTTTTATTTTATTCTTTTTATTGATAATTTCTAACATTCTTTCTTCACACATACATAACAGTCATGTACATATATCCATCATTGTGTTTATCCTACCCGTACAACGTGTTACAAATAATTTTACAATCACCAAGGCACTGGTAAGAAAGTGGCAATCATTTTGTGCATCTGACAAAAATTGAAATAAAAAACTCTAGTTTGATGGCTCGTGATGTTGTCTCCCTAATCCCTATTGGGCTCTAGTGATTCAACTTTTTGGTTGCACTTATTTTAATATATTTGGAATAGTGCTAATTTTAAAGAAGTCGCTAAATCCCACATATTCACACAATTTCTTTTGAACCTTTTTTCCTTTAACTTTGTAGGGAGTATTGAAACTAAAACATAGACAAATGGCTGATGACACTCGTCCAATTGATCCTACTTGCCCTTGTATGGTATGTTTGTAAGAGGTCAATTTTTTACTTGATAAAACTGTTTGCAGAAATCAGCATGTGTTTTAGTTTATTTCTTCTGTCACAGGTTTGCAAGACCTACAGCAGGGCTTACATCCATTGCCTTGTGACAAAAGATGCAATGGGGTCTCAACTTTTGTCATATCATAATTTATACTACATGATGCAGGTACAAGCAATATCATCTTGTAAAAATACTCTTAAAACTATTTTGTTGTGCATTTGCGTATAAGTAAGATTAAAGTCATTGTATTTTCAAAATTTGCAGCTCAGTAGGAATCTACACTCTTCAATAGTTGAAGGGAGGTTCCCAGAGTATGTTCACACTTAATTATTCTCTCCTTCATTTTATATCATGATCTGAATTGATACTTTCCATTCGGCAATTTCCTTCCTTCTTTATATGCCACTAATCATATATTTTTTTTGTTTTGGCTTTTTGTAGGTTTGTATGTGACTTTCTGCGCAAAATGGTATGCTAGAGAAAATTACATCAACCTTTCTCGAATTTTGGGCACATTACATTGACATGTGTTTATTTTTATTTTTATTATTATTTGTAATATTCTTTGTATATTATTAATATTTCTTTATGTATACACAGCACAAAAATCAGTACCTCCTTGAGAAGACATGTTTTTTATTTGTTTGTCATCATTTCCTGTATCACAAATAACTGGATGATTACTTACATCTTCATATTGCAGTTCCCAAAAGGTGATGTTCCTGAATGGGTCTGCGATGCCATGAAGGTTGCTGGAATTGATATTTCTTCCTGTTGTGCTCAGTTTTCATCATGCCAAGAATATGATTCCAAAAATATGGTGGAAGAAGAAGAGGTTGTTAGTTTAATGAGGTAAAAATGATAGACAGACAAACAGAAATCGAAGTTACACCGAAGAGATACACATGATTTATTGCGGCATAAATTTTGTATCCTGCTTATGTCGCTTCCGTAACAGTTATGAAAAAGTTAGGATTTTTTCTGGGGTAGGGGGAATTCCTTCTTGGTTCTTATTAATTTATTATCACACTCATCAGAAGATTCGTCTTATATTCTAGAAGAATGTAAGATGATGGATAGGTTAGTCTTGAATGAATGTAGGTTCAGGTATTGTTTTCATAGTACACTTGGTGAGAGTGAAGCGAAGCTTAAATATATCTTACATGCACAAGTTTGACAACATTACATATATGATATTCATTTTAGTTCAGATGTTTAAACTCAAGACAGAAGAACTATTACAGCAATTCTGCATGCAAGAACTCTTGTAATACTAAGTACATTTCATAGAGTTTTTATGTAACTTATTTATTAGATAAAATTTTGTTAAACATTTGATTAAACTGCTTACATGATTGCATTTTGAAATTTCTTCAGAATCATTGCCTTCATTATTTACCACATTATGATACTTCTAGGTAGTTGGAACTTGTTCTCAATACCAGATCTCTATTTATGAAAGTTAATGTAAACATATATTCATGTTTAGTTTGTTTTATGTTATTTATTTTTGTTTTTAATTTGAATTTAACTAGTGATATTATGTTGCAAGAAAATTAAGGACGACTACTTGTCTGTTCAATGAACCTTTAGGATCAATTATTCTTATCGCAATGTAAGTTAAAATGTAAAATTTATGATAGAAGGTGGTTAACATTTGAAAATTAATTTTATTAAAGGTAATTTTTGTTAATTTAAAAAAGGTTTTTTTATTCCGTCCGATGATGCTTTGCTTTTCTTGACCCCTCGAATCATGAAAGTATTTTAATGGAATTTTAATAAATGAATTTCATAAATTTTTATAGGTAAAGAAATTACAATGATCGCAGTGAATTTCATTTGATGCAAGAGTAGTACATCTTAACGATAATAATAGGTACAGGTTCTTATTTTACCTATATAATTCTTAACAAGAATTTTGATACTCCGTGTGTAATTTTAACGTAAAAGGGCAAATTATTGAAAAGGAAAGCGATAATTACTCATTTAATTAAGATAGGTGAATTTTTTTCTTATTGGATATTGTATCCATATCATGGACCTAGCTTTAACAAGAACATTCATTTTGAACAAGAATGTTTTTTAACCTGATTTTTTTTTCTTCGTTCAAATTATACAAGATTGACTCGAGAATATTACTGCTCAATGAAGGACCATAGTCAAGAAAATTACAATAATGTTTAAATATATCTTATATATTTCTAATTACTTCAAATGATATGTATTACATTTTTGTTTTTTAATACAATAACGATTTTCTTATATATACACATATAAAAATTCTTACTTTTATATTGTTCATGAATGCTTCTAAAACAATAATAATTTTTAGAAATATTCTACGCTCATTTATTAAATTATATTGTTTTTAATTCCTTAAATTAAAAATATTCTTTGTCTTATAATTTTAAATTTTTTATATTCAAATTTTATTAAAAAAATTCATTAAATATTATTATATAAAATATATTTATTAATATCTTTATTAATAAAAAATATTATATTAAATTTAATTAATATATATAACGATTTCAATTTATCACTTTAAATATATATTATTAGTAACAACAAAGATTAAAATAAAATTATTAAAAATTATAAGATTAAAAAAACTATTTTTAAGTTTAAAAACAAAAATAAACTTGTCCTAACTTGAAGAGAGTAAAAATATATTCAAAAGATTTATATTTTTTCATCCTTCAACTTCAACCCTAAAACCCTCACGGTGTCACTCGCCACTGTGTTTCTTGTTTCTCACTTCCACCGATAATTTTTCATATCACTTATAGCCGTCGACGGTTCCAAACCCAATTTGTTATCTCTCTGCGACTTCCAGGTACGCTACTCTCTCCATGTTTTCACGCTTGGTTCTGTCTTCATTTTCCATTTTTGTTCACTATTTGTAGTTGAACGAAGAAACCTACCTTCATATGTGTAAAGCTTTTTGAGGTTAGCTAATTTATATTGTATCTAGCAACGGAAGCATAGAGCGAGTGATTTCAATTTCATGTTTGGAACCCACCTGTTAGTGCCTGGTACCAATACAGTGTTGTTAAATACGGCTGCGATCAGGGTTGAAGTGCTTCGATTTCATTTAAGTTATTATAAATCTCAATGAAACTGAAATCCTGGTAACAGAGCTTTGATCTCAGACAACTAGGAGATTGGGGGTTATGATGACTAATTGTAGCTCTAGGAAATGAACATGATTACTCATTGGCAAATGTCAAGAAGCTCTGCTCTGCCTGCTTAACATTAAGTAGTCTGTGATATTGTTGCTGGTATAAGTGCCAAAACATTGTTTGTGTATGAGTTATTAGATGATCCTCCTTCTATGGTACACTCCTTTTAGTGGAATCACCGGGATTGGCCTAGTGATGAGAGGTTCGGGTAAGATATACAAAGTCTTAAATTTGAACTTTGTTCTTGTCATGGTAATTCGTGTAGATAAAAAAGTAAAAATAAAAAAAAGTCCTATTCGTGAGATTACTGTAGGTGATATTTTAAGTATACTTTTACCTGTCCTTAAAGATCTCAAATTTATCACGACATTCTAACTGATATTGGAATTACATATCTTTACTAACCCAAGAAAGGATGATTTGAAATCAAATCATGCCTCTCCCAAGTAAAGACAAACCCCTTTCCGTAATATTCATTTCCTCAAATCAACCCCAGTTCAGATGCCTTTCCTTGAATCCTCTGTTTGGAAATCTACAGGCTTTCTGTTTCACCTTCATCAATTTCCAATGGCAAGTGCATAATGTAGTTTTTATGCAGAAAATTTTCTACTTTTGATTATGTATTGTTACTGTTTTTATTTGTGTTTGTGTATGTTATTCCTTGGTTGTGATGTGACATAAGTGTTTGGTTTTGATGATTATTGATTTGTTTTGTCTCTTGCAGGAAAAGATGCCGTTGGGGATCATTTTAGGAATAGCAAGGACATTTCGAAGGAAGCGGACATCTTCCCTTGACATTCTTTCACCAAAACGTGCGCCTAGTGGATATTACAAGGGAAAGAATTGCAAACCTACTGGTTTCCACACTCGCAAAGGTTTGTTTCTTCAATTTAAGTTGTGGTTTTAATCTATGTTTGTTTGTTTAAGAAGCACTTATCTTGAACTAGAATACACTTCTGTCGTCTAATCTGACTTTGATTATATCTTGAGCCTTGTCAACTGCTTGATTGCATACATACTTTGTTTTCTTTAATACAAATGGGGCATATTTATTAGTTTGCTAATGGTAATATCTTCTTAATTGTGGTAAACTAGAATAAGCTGTATGATTAATGTTTCTTTCAAAACTTGTGTCTTTTTCAATTCTAGTAAAAAAACTTATGACTTCTTAAATCTTATTCTAGTTTCACTGTACTGACTTTGATTGACGAGGATTGTTGGGTGTGAAAGATGCTCACTTGTTTTCACTTGATCTTTACGAGGGCTGATCTTTACATATCTATTATTTGGGTTGGTTGACTGAAATTACTTGCATTTCTACATCCAGCTCTAAAAATTGAGAAAATTACATTGACACTCCCTAAAGTTCTACGAAATTGCACCAACACCCCCTACTTTTTTAAGGTTTACAGTAACATCCTTATAGGAGGTCACAATGTAATGTTTTTAAATAATTGAGGGGGGTTAAAGTAATGATGTATAGGAAGTGCTAGTGTAATATTTTTAAAACAATTAAGGGGGGTTATTGTAGGGGTAGAAAAAGTAGGAGATATTTATGCAATTTCTCAAAACTTCAGGAAGTGTCTGTGTTCTTTATTCTTAAAAATTTGTGGCCTTGGTAATATTTTGGTTGTTTCTTTATATCCTAAATGTCTACAGTTAGTAAATGTGGTTTTCTAAAACTCGGTATTCATTACTGAGGTTGTATTTATAATTTTGTATGTTGTAATAAAATAATTTATCTAGCTACATACATATTATATTAATGTATTTTTTTTCTGTACTTTCAAATTAAATGTAAATTTCCGTATTGTTGCAGGTGGGTATGTAGTGTTGCAAGAAAAATTGCCAAATTATGTAGTTCCTGATTTGACTGATTTCAAGGTTTGCATCTTCCACTCAATCTTATCACTATTGTTTTTTGTTCACCTGTTTTTCTTCCACACGTTTACTGTGCTGAAGTTAATGATAACTTACGGCTTCATGAATGACTAGGGGTCAAGAATTTCTGTGAATTTAACACGATTATGGATTTAGTATTTCTCATGCACTGTTAGTGGCAACTGATTCATATAATTCCTTCTTTTATGCAGCTCAAACCGTATGTATCTCAGTGTCCTTTAGAAGTCAATGCCTCTGAGGCTTCCCAAACGGCTAAACAAACAAAATTAGTGTAAGACTCTTTCTTTGTAACTGCAGATATTTTTCCATGAAGAGGAGTTGGCAGGCCCTTCATTTTGTTGTTTGTTCTCACTCGTTTTGAACTATAACATCTTGAGTAATTATTGACCGGCACAAATATTTGATATTTTGATTGGATATTAACCTATCAATCAATATCATTCATATATGTAATGCGATGAATGATTTGGACTATCAAAATTATCAATAAATTTTACCTGTTATGCCCCAATTATTTTGGTTATGTTTGGATGATGGAGTTGTTAATAATTGAGTGGAATTGTAAAAATTGAGAAGACCTTAAACCATTGTTTGGGAATTTTTCATTAATGAAAAGAGATGATCAAAGGGGATTTGCATTACTCAAATTTGCCAAATTTCAAATCCCCCGACATTTTGGGGGTTATCTCTGAGTTATTTACAGTATTAACCATAACCATTCCTTATTTTTTTTTTAATTTTATTTCCGTAGCATATTATATTCAGGCACCGTAACCCAGTTAAACACCCTCTCCTTCCGTAGGGGTGTCGATGTTTTGGAAGTATTTTAACAAATAAAAATTATAATTATTAGCATACTATTTTTAAAAGTACAGTAAGTGATATTAAAGCATATACCGACATACGTACCCAGACGGAATCGTAATAACTAAAATTGGAAGTGCAATATTGGAACTAAAATTTGTGATTTTTTCTACTTCATGAATTACCAGTGACTTTCGAACCTTGGAGAGCAACTTCCCTTAAAAAATTTTAAACAAAAATTAATAACTTTGACACTTTTTTACGCAACCGTGGTTTCAATTTTCAAACCATTCGATAAAACTACCATACCCCATTGTTTTCGAAACTCGCAAGCGAATTGGTTACATACAATAAAGAGAAAATGAGAAATGCTGAACAAGATAAGTTGCATGAAAATTATACTTAGGTGCGTGTTTTCTATGAATTATTTTGATATATATATATATTAAATCATCTCGTGAAGTTATAAAAATGTTTATAATAAAAAAAAAAAAGTTGATCTGCACTAGCCTAAATAACTCAACTTCATGTTATAGCATGCAAGGTTTCATGTTTAACCCTATTATGCGCGTAAGTGGAAGCTAAAATTTATAGCTAGATCTAACATCAGTAACAACGTAACATGATTTCATGAAACAATGTCCATACTTGAAGCTAAACCAAACGCACTTCTTGGAAGTAATTCAATCCAGTGTTATCTCCCCAAGTTTTGGTGAGAAGGGAGTCACATGTAAGAATGATTCATATCCGGTAACACTACCCCTAATTACACTTTATTTATATATAGTGCTTTGCTTCTAGCCAAGTGGTGTCATTCTTACCTGCAACGAAATCATATGCCATTTCCCACCTTACGTGATTTTTAGGGACTATTTCCTATAGTATTTCATAATTATGATACAGTATCTCGCTAGTCGCTAGTGTATGAAGTGACCATAGAGATGTGGAAGTGTATCATTGAACTCAAGCATGAGGGAATTATGATACAGGATCAATGAATGGGAGGAATTCAATAAGTTGAATTTCCTGATTGGTAAGCTGAAGTATAGGGCACCATTGCCCTATAACATGATCATCACCTCTGGCATAATTACTTTGGATGACGAATACTCCAGTATGCTATCTACAAGATATATCATTGACGTGCGTTCTAGAAACTATGTCAAGTTATTTTAGGATGTCACCTTTTTTTTGTGTGGTTATTCAAGGTTAAGGACAATATTCATTGGCCTGTGTTTTTCACATTATCACATAAAGAATGATGAAGGCCAAGAGGAAGTTTGGTTGTGACTTTCCCTATGCAGTAACGACATCGATCTTTGACATATGTGAAAATTTGGTGTCATTCTACTTGAGTCAAGTCTTAGAGAGAACTGTGAATCATAATGCTTCAATTTGTGATATATTTCCGCTTTGAGAGTGGTTAATAGCCTTCATTTGCTTGTTTATAAATCTAGAGTGAATTTCTCTTAAGAGACCTTCGGTATATAGAATTTTTTTTTTTTAGAGTTTTAAATTGAAAATTTTTGTTTCTTATATCTGATAATTATTTAAAAAAAAACGAAAAATATAATTTTCTGGAAATCATTTTTATCTCACTCTCTTTAAAAAAATAAATTCATTGGCGAGTGGGGATCAAACTTTTGTGAGTGAGGAAAAGTTTTATATAAATTAATTTGTATAGAAACCCGCCCTTTGACCTTGAAACTGCATTTCAAGAAGAGAAAAAGATACTCTGTATGGGTGAAGCTGAATGAATGAGTGAATCCGATTCCAATTGATTCATTGACCAACCAAAGTACAGTTAAGAATGAAATACACGAAGAGACAGAGTTTGAACTTTGAAGGCATGGCAAAGTACCATTGGTTGTACTCACAAAGATTCCACACATCACACGTGCCACCCAGGACCACTGTTCTATGCGGCCTTCCTAGTTCCCAACCAAGCCACATAATAAAAAATATATATATTAACAAAAATTTTATTTTAATTCTTAAATAATTTCTTCATTAATCTTTGCCAAAAAAATAATAATACACTTGAACTCCAACATATACAACCCTGAAAAAGTAAAGCATTAGAAAAACATTTTTTATTGATTAAAGTTTATTAAAAAAAAATATAAAAGTATTAGCAATAAAAAATGTGCTTCAAAAATTAAATTAAATAAAAAATTTCTATCTAAATTATATAATAATTTTCACGTGACACACATAATTGGATTAAATTAATTTTTCATAAATTAAAAATTGTATTATATATTATATAAATATCAATTGAGACTATAAACACTAATAATCACATCTCATATCTTATAATAATTTCTTGTGTTTTTCTAGTAAACATTTTGTGTGAGAACTAAGGACATTTTTAATTAATTGATATATAGTTTTATTTTTTATCCAAAAAAGAACACTTTATCGGTAATTTATGGTAAAGAAATTGTAATTTGCTTTGATGGACCCAAAATAGCAATACAAAAGGGTCACGTTTGATGATTTTTTACCATGTCACGGTTGGTTTGATTTTGTCGACGCCAACCTTGTTCTAAAATTAGAGATTTTCCACGCCGCCCCACAATTCAGAAACCAAAAAGCTTTGGCCTTTTCCACAAACTGAGACCATCAAAGCCACATGCCTCAATCACAGTCGTCCATTTTAACCCTTCACACAAGTCCAAGTCATATTTTTCAACTTGTGTACAAATACCGTCAAAAAGACCATTTTGAGGAAACACCCATGAACTATCACGGAAACTGAAACACACCCTCACCCCCACCTTCATCTTCTATATATCAACCAACTTTCTCACAATGCACCCTTCAAAATGGCAAGCCTAATAAGACCCTCCAAGGACAAGGGCATTGTTGGAAGGTTCAACCCTCATGGCCGTTGCAAGAAGCACCCCAAACACCGTCAATCACCTGGCGTGTGTTCCCTTTGTTTGAGGGACAAGCTTTCTCAACTATCCACACCTTCTTCTTCTTCCTCTTCTTCACGTAAAATAACCTCACTTTCTTCTTCTTCTTCTTCTTTGTCCTCCTATGACTCCTCTTCTGTCTCTTCTTGTGCCTCTCCATCAACGCTTCCTTTCCCTCTTGAGCCAACAAAGAGTGCTTCCAACTCGGTTTCCATCTTTCTCTTGAGTGCCAAAAACGGTGGAGTCCTCAAAAGTAAGTCAATGAGCGTTGTTGCCACGAGGAGAAGAAAAACAAGAGAAGGTGATGATGATGATAATGATGGTGGTGGTGGTAATATGAAGAGTGTCAAGAAAAGTGGGTTTTGGTCCAAGTTGCTTCATCCTAAAACCAAGAGATCAATGGAGGGAAAGATCAAGGGCAATAGCACTAAGCAGCTAGTTCATACTAGGTCTCTTTTACAAACTGTGACATAGTCATATCATAAACTATTCATTTCTAATTAATATTAGTCATTCATTCTTTTTTTCTTAATTTTTTTCTCCCACCTCTTTAATTTTTGAGTGGATTAATTATATATTGTGCTGTTGGATATTAATTAGTTCGTCTTTCAGATTTCCTTTCCGCAAAAGCAGGGTAGAAAAATAGAGATCGACCTTCTTGTATTGCAATTTAATTATGCTTGTGTTTTGTACATAAATTAACGCTTTTTGGATCGTTAATGGAGAGGGAGAAAAGGCAAATATATGAATATGTATAAGTAGATGTACGTATATATATTAAATTTTGCACGGATCAATATGGCAGAGATTATTCTTTTTAGATTTGATTCTTTCAATATTTGTTATATATATATATAGATGTAATTTACAAGAGGAGAGGTCGGGTCGGAGAATACTTATTGAGTTGAACATGTATGGCTAGAGAGACATACATTGCTGGCATGACTTGGCAATATGGTAGCTGTAATTGAGGCTGTTCAATTCTCGTAAATTTATGGACAAAACATACCTTCAGCTTCTTAAGTGCTAAAAATTGAAGTTTCATTTCAGTAATTCCAATTTTATTATATGAAATACTGAGATGAAATTCCAATTTCATCTAAGTTTAATTTTATTTTAAATTTATAAAGATAGATTGATTATACGCTGCATTTGAGAAATAATGACATGTCTAATTAATTAATTTAAAAAGCGAAAAAATACTAATACTTCTCAATGAATATCCTAAACATTTAGGAATTTAAAAATAAAAAAATGTAATGAAAATACAATATTCCATGCATAAAAATTGAATTTTTACTTTTTATTAAATATTTTATTTTCAAGGCCTTGGTTGACAAGTTTCTGGGAACACTCATTAGCACGGTCATGAAAAAGAAAGAAATAATATATATATATATATATATATATATA